TGCGTGCATCGTAGCAGTGTCCAGTGAGCTTGTTTGTGTCTGTGTGTCGCTCGAGCGTGTCTGGGGGCAAATGTAGATTTCCTGCCCAGCATAAGGATATTTCTTTCATTTCTTTCGTCTTTATTTCGTGCCCCACCACGGCAAATTTGCGAGAAATTTCTTCGCCCCGTCACTCCATGCTCAAGTTTCGCCCCTTTCCGTGTAAGGAAACAAGGTGTCCCCCATGTTGGACCAGGCACCGTGCGGGCCTGCCGTGCCTTGCTTGAGCCGGCAGGCCCGCGCGGCAGTGATGGTGCGCCTCCGCGGAGAGGCTGACGCTGGTCATCGGTCAGCGGTCAGCGGTCATCGGTCACCGGTCAAGCGGGTCATCGGGCGTCAGTGTCATTCAGGCGTCAGTGTCATTCAGGCGTCAGTGTCATTCGCGTCAACACAGGTATGGTAAATTTCCGGAAATTTCTCCTTCCGAACAAGGCTGTCATATTTCTCAAAATATTTCGGGAAATCTACATTTGCCCCAAAGCGTGTCGTCACCATCTGTCTCGCGGCAATATTTCTTTCACGATACATAAGTACATGCGTGCAGGCAGGTGCATGCGGCAAGGGTCCGGCATGCCGGGATAGATTTTTATTAGCAATACCCAATACCAAACAACTCCACATCATTTGGGGCCCCTGCACTTTAAAGCTTCGTGGTAAAGCGTAAACAGATACGCTTGCGAGCCAGGGCAAGGACGCGGCCGGCGACGGAGAGCTCGGCTGGAAGGGGGCCTATGTACGTTTTGGCAACACGGAGACCGGGCTGCTCAAGTTGGTCAAAGGGCGCGGCAAGTGGTCTCCGTCGGGAGCGACGGCAGCGGCGGTGGCGGGGGAGGAGGAGGAGGCCGAGGAGGAGGGGGAGGAGGGGGAGGAGGAGGATGCCCCCAAGGGAAAGCTCCAGCAGCTGCCTGGCGATTACCGCTTTGCGCGGGAGCAGGTACGTTTGTTTGATTTTGAGGCTTTCGGAGGCTTTGGAAAGGAGGTTCGCAGCACCCTGAGGGAGGCGGCGAACCAGCTGAGCAACAAACTTTCGCACGCTCAGCACCTGGACGAGGTCACATGGACCACCAAGAACTGGCACGGGCTGCAGATGCAGCGCTTGTCTGTCGTCCTCCACACCGCCGTGGCGTGTCCTCAACGTGTGCGCTAGGCTGCTCTCCACGGCCACCCTCGCTGGTTCCCCTTCCACCGCGCTGAGGGCCCGGTCCACTTGATCGATCAGCGCCGCCGCTGCGTACGTGTACGCGTGTTCCATTCCCATCCCTCCTCTCTCCTTCACATCGTAAATTTGTAGTCGCGGGATTCCTACCGAGTACCCTTTTGCGTTTAGGGCGCTCGCCCTCACTTGTTCGATGCTCTGGCAGTCTTCCCATGTGATGACCGTGGACCGGCCGTAGTAGCCGATAATGCCGCTCAGTGCTAGCGCCATGTTGCGTCGGATCTGCTCTCCTGTCAAGTGCGGCAGGTTGCCTATGATCCAGATTACTCTCTTGCAGTCAGCTACGCACCGTTCCCTCATTTCCGTCTGGCCCTCGCCGTTCGCCCACCCGGTCCTTAGCTCCGTTCCGAGGTATTTGTATCTCTCGTCTCCCTTCAGCTGTGGTATCGGCATGCCATCCGGCATCCTCATTTCGTAGCCCTCGACATCCCGCTCTTCGTTGTTCTCCCAGTACGTCGCTGACCATGCCGATTTCTTCTTCTTTTTGACCTGGAGGCTGTTGCCACAGATCTTTGTCACTAACCAGGCGCACTCTAGCGCTAGCTGCATCGTGGCTATGTCGTTGCTGAGGAACAGGCCGTCGTCGGCGTACACTAGCTGCGGCACGCTCTCACCCGCCGCTGTGAAATCAAATCATCTACACAGCTTACTGACTGTTCGCTGCATCACGGCCAGCATGAGCTTGCTGCGTGCGGGCGAAAGGAGGCACCCTTGGCCGAGGCCTTGCTCGATGGGAAATCGGTCGCTCAGTCCATAGCCCGTCTCGTATCTACCTTGGAGGGAGGGTAGCTCCTCCCCAAGTCCTTCTCTTAGCGCCTTCATCACAGCTGTCACGTCGGGCGGTACCCCTGCCCATTGTTCCACCTTCCATTGCACTTCGTGTACTACACTCATAAAGTAGGTGCCGAGATCGATGATCCCCTCACGCACATCT